ACTTTAACGGAAGAAAGTAAAAGCTGCACTAGTATATAGTAGTAGAATATTTTTGTATAATAAAAGATGACAAGTAGTTCATTATTGTATAATTAAATTACTAATTGCAAAAGGCTATAAAGAGAAGAGAAAGGCTGTAATAAAATACTCATCGCGAGGATCACCGAGGTTTCACGTTATAGGACACGCCTGCGAGCCTGCCGGTTATTGGGAAACATACACGTGTAAGCGGATGTAGCCTATCGACTAACTTTTAACACGAAATATATATATATATATATATAAATTTATTAGTGAATTTAAGGATACACGATTTGACGCCCACCATGGACTTCCCTCAAAACTTAATCGGTGTCTCCCGGCCCAAACATATGGCAAGTGGGCCATCGAATGCTCTTCTAAATAGGGTACCGTCTTCGGACAAGCTGAACCGGGCCGCTTTCGTACACAAAGCTCCGATTCTTTAGGATCCGAGGGAAGTTTTCTGGTCTTCAGGTAATCTATGTATTTGTTTCTCCAGTTTCAGGTTAAGCTTGTCGAGTTTATCTCGCGTGGCCTTCCTCCACTACCGATTTCATGAGTTGTACGACCATTTCCGAGTTGAATTCATCGTCATCGACCGACAATCCCAAGTTAGCAAGAGCATCGGCCTCGCTGTTTTGATCCTGAGGTACATGTTGTAAAGTCCATTCCCTGAACCGATGTAGCGTTACCTGTAGCTTATCCAGGTATCTTCACATTCGTTCCTCTTTGACTTCGAACGTTCTATTGACTTGATTCACCACGAGGAGAGAATCGGATTTAGCTTCGACCACCTCGGCCCCAGGCTTTTAGCCAGTTCAAGACCTGCAATCATGGCCTCATATTCGGCCTCGTTGTTAGTCAATTTTACAGTTCTAATTGATTGTCTAACTACATTACCCGTCGGTGGTTTCAACACGATGCCAAGTCCGGACCCCTTTGCGTTCGAGGCACCGTCCGTAAAGAGGGCCCAGATTCCGGAAGAGGTCCCCGAGTTCAATAGCAACTCATTTTCGACCTCAGGAACTAGGGACATCGTGAAGTCAGTCACGAAGTCCGCTAAAATATATGATTTGATGGCGGTTCGGTGTCGAGTTGTTATCGTATCCGCCATCGGACGCATCAGAGACACCAAGTGGCCTCGACCTCTACAGTCTGATCTAGCCCAAAGGGATACCAACTTAATATGCAAGTATCATACCACACATGGCCACAAAACAGAGGATTACCGACAATTAAGGGAGGAGGTAGCCCGGTTATTTAACAACGGAAATCTCTGGGAGTTCTTGAGCGATCGAGCCAAAAATCATTTCAGGAATAGAGATTCTAATAAACAGACCGAGCAGGAGAAACCTTAGTACGTCATTAACATGATCATCGGTGGGGTCGACGTTCCCCAGGGGCCGATGTTAAAGCCCATCAAAGTATCCATCACGATAGAAAAATGGACTCGAGATTACGTATTATAAGGGACCTTGTCTTTCAACGACGAGGACGCTTAAGGCATAGTGCAGCCCCACAACGATGCACTGGTAATATCTGTACTCATAAATAAATCTCATGTTAAGCGTGTCTTGATTGATCCAGATAGCTTAGCCAATATCATTAGATCATGGGTCGTGGAATAACTGGGTTTGCAAGAACAAATCGTGCATGCAGTAAAGGTTCTAAACGGATTCAACATGGCATGCGAGACCACTAAAGGGGAGATAACATTACCGGTGAACACCGTCGGGACCATTCAGGAAACGAAGTTCTGCGTGATCGAAGGGAACATGAGGTACAATGTTTTGTTCGGGAGACCATGGATTCACAACAAGAGGGCAATACCCCCGATACTGCACCAGGTGTTAAAATTTCCAACACCTGGAGGAATTAAAACAGTTTACAGAGAGCAACCGGCCGCAAAGGAGATGTTCGCGGTCGACGAGGTGATCCCGGTATCTGCACTTTCGACATCGAAGAGTCTAAACCCGATGGCCAAAGACGAAACCAAATAGCAATTACCGATACCGGCCTCGATGTAACCGGAGAAGCAGGGGATAGATGAAGACGACGGCTACGGAGTTCCCACATCTTTCATAGTCCCCGATGATTCCGACGCCACCAAATCAACAGTCGAAGAAGTGGAGCAAGTCATATTGATCGGACACCTGCCTGATCGTAATGCACACCTGAGCACGGGGTTAAGTCCCGAGCTTAGAAAAAACTCATTCAATTCCTTATAGTTAACATAAATTATTTCGCTTGGTCCCATCCCAATATGACAGGGATTCCGGCGGAGATAACCACTCACAAATTTAATCCGCATATCCTTAAAACCACTTACAAATTTAATTGTTATCCGATTTTGAGGGTAAACAGTTTGGCACCCACCGTGGGCGTTGTTCTGAGGATCAGCGGGCAAATTCGTGTTGATGGCCACATATGAGCTGGTATCGATCGGGTCCGCGATTGGAATTCTGTTGGGATCAGCGGGGGGCACCTCGTTACCGGGCGCTATATTGTTGTTCTCGCCATGGTGGCCAAACTCAGCATCCGTGTTTAGAAGGGTAGTTTGGGACTTCGACATTTTAAGCGCATACTTGAAATCAAAGACATTTCAAAGAACAAGTGTGAAGTAGGGTGTGTTATGGAAATTTGTATCAAATTGCCACTATTATTCTTAGCCCCACGGTGGACGCCAAATCGCATATTTTTAAAATTACTAACAAATTTAATTGTTATCTGATTTTAAGGGTAAATAATGTAAAAATCTATCAAAATCTTAAAAAATCTTATAATTAAACTCATAATTGTAACAGTTTAAAATCAAACCCATTAAATTTAAAATTTAAATCCGCGTAGCAATGCTGGTGTTTAATGTACAATGGGGCAGGGTACAACGGCTGACCGCGATTCAAGGGCAGCGGTTCTTTGTCGGGGAGCAGAAATTGCCTTTCAATTTGAGCTCATTACACTGCTTTAATATTTACCTCCTCAACGCCAGTCTACTTTTTCGACATCTGTGTGGGAGTTGTCGTACTTCTCTTTTCTCACTTTTAGTTGTTAAGTATTATAAATTTTTATTTTTACGAAAAATAATTTATTTTTTTTGATTTATCCTTAGCATTGATTATTTATTTTAAATTCATTAAAATTATACATCAATTAATATGAATATTATAATAAATTATATATTTTATTTATTATTTTTTTAAAGTTATTCAAAATCAACAATGGATAAATAAAAGTGAACAGAGGTAATATAGTACGCCTGCTGTCAAATGAAAGGCAAAATAGAACATCACCATTTACCGTTCCTACAGGCAAATGTAATTACTGAAGTAACATGTGAAAAAAAATAAAAAATACAGAAAACGAAATGATGAAACTTCAAGGGTACAAAAGGAAATTGGACCTTGTCACGCCTCCGTAATGGTGATTGATCAACAAATGAGGGGTAGATTAGGGTCCCACGGCCATGATTTTATAACAAGTTACAGTAGTAAAAGTGAAGAAAACGACAAAAGAGTTTGGCAGAAAACGTTATGACGTGACCCCAATGTTTTTCATAATAAGATGAAGAGCAAAATCTCCCCCTAATTCCTAGTTTGAAGCAAGGGGAGAAAGGGCAAAACTTTCCAAAGCACAATAATAATGATACTTCACGTAAACATTTGGTACCAATTCAATTAATATATTACATATTTATTCAATACATATTAATATTCATTAATTTGATTGACGGATTCGGATTGGTCTAAAAATGAGTGATACACTGTTATAATTAATTAAAAAAAAATTAATGCCCCCAAAATATCTCTTGCAGGGTGACGGACATGGTTTGAAAACTAAAGGGCAAAGAATAGGAGTGGGTCCGGGCTGGGGGCCCGCGTCATGCTCGGCCCGTTGTAACTTTGGCGCTTTAGAAGGCAAAGCATCTCATGTGCCGTTAGGTCGCAAGTCTTGGGAATATTATACTAGCAGCTCCATTTACTTCTTGCCCTCCATATCTCACAATATTACTGTCTGATGCTATTTAACGTTCTTATCGTTGCCCCGTTTGTCCATAAAACTATTTTTTTTTTGTTCATAAAATTTTATAAGTTTTTCAAAATATAAATTTCGAAAATAAGTTTTTCAAAAAATATTCAAAATTTTCAAAAATACTTTTTCCCCCACTCACAAAACATAATTTCAAACTTCAAATACCATTTTTTAACTAAACTCCAACTACTATATTTTCAAAATTACAATATTTATGTCCAAATGCCTACTAAGCTTTGGATATTTCGTACTTTGTCTTTTGGATATTTATTACAATAGTACTTGCAGTTTTTATTTTTTAGATATCTTAAATTTAGAAGAATCTTATATTCTTTGGAGCCGTTTGGACATAAATCTTTTTTTCCTTAAATATGTCAAATCAATGTTTGATTATGCATTAAACTAATTTTTGAATATGAGTTTCAAGTAAATAGTATTTTTCTCTCACAAAAATATAATATTTTTTCAAGTGAAATACATGTACAAACACTGTTTTAATTCTCAAATACATTTCTTTAACTTAACTTCAAAAATTATTTTTTCTCAAATATCACATTTTTAATGTCCAAATGCCTACTTAATATTAGACAAAATAATTTTGAAGCAGCTACCTCTACTTTTGCTTAGTTCTTTCATTCATTTTGGAACATGACCATGTTTCTTTTCTTCTCCCCCCCCCCCCCCCCCCCAAAAAAAAAAATAATAGAAGGGGCTATAAGTTCATTTAACAATTTTATTTACCACAGAAAATTGATTGTGTTTCTTGGACTATAGTGGTCAAGATGTAAATAATGACAAACAATAAGGATATAATTGTAGGAAAGTGTAAACAATAATTAATAGGAATAAAAAATAGGGGAAGGTACAAGGAATTCTTGGCCAATAGATTCACTTGCACCAAATTCAGAAACCATGGTTTTTTTTTTGTTTTGATACTTAACACTTGTCTCTAAAAATCATCTACCGAACCTTTCTTTATAACCACATCTCTTCCAAACCCCATTTCTCCAAACATTTTTCCACTTTCCCATTCTCTCTACAAACCAAACAAGGAAATTAAATGGACACTACAACAAGAAGAGGTCCTTTTTTCTTTGACAAAAACGATGGTCTTGCCTCTCTAGCTATAATAGAAGCTGAGATTTCAGAGAACAATCATCACAATCACAATCCATTGATTTCTAGGCCTCTTTATCATACTGTTTTACAAAGGAAGAGTAGCCTTAGGAATCTTTCATTCATTTCCTCTTCCTCTTCTTCTTCAATGTCATCTCCGAAATTGGCTGGTGGCAGAAGGTTTTGTGAAACTAGATTTGAGGAACAACAACCCCATTTCTTGGAATCTTGTTTTCTTTGCAAGAAACAACTTGGTAGTAACAAAGACATCTTCATGTACAGGTTAGTTTTTGCTTCATTCTTTGCATAGTTCAAATCAAATTGAAATAGTATACTTTTTCATTTGGGGGATGGATTTTCTTAAAATATCAACTGGTTATCTTTTATTCAAGAAATGATGGTGGAATATATTGGAACATTTCAAACTATGTTTAGCAAGGGAAAAAAAACAATCTTTTTAAAGAAACTGATCAGTAAAGTAATTCTTGTCTACTGATGGACAAGATCATAAGTGGATTAGTTATAGAAGCGTGGATTGGAAAATTGTGATTAGGCTTTTATTACTATATATATTGGACATTTGAATGAGTACAAGAATTTATTTGTTCTTTGTTTTTTTATGATGCAGAGGGGATACTCCATTCTGCAGTGAAGAGTGCAGGCAAGAACAGATAGAAATGGATGAAGCCAAAGAGAAAAAATTGAATCTTTCAGCTTCTGTAAAGGCCTTGAGAAAAAATGACCAGAGAAATTCCAGTAACTCTCCCAGTAAAACACAAAATAACCCTTTTCCCAGAGGCACAGTAGCTGCTGCTTGAGTGAAAAACAAAATAAAAAAATAACACTATAGGATGAAATTGAAGAAATTAAAGCTCATTCTATCAATTATCTACAAACAGCAAATAATTAAAGTAAGAAAAAAAAAAAGAGCTACCAATGAGACAAAGCTCATTCAGTGAAAGCTAAAAGCGTCCTCGTTATAAAGAAAGGATGAAGAAGTAGAAGAGTTAATTATGACAAGAGTCTTTAATTTCTTTCCTTTTTTCCATTTATTACTTCTTTAGTAAAATCATTATGTAAATGATGATATCGAAGTGGAGGGTGTATTTTTCTTTTCCTTTTTTTTTTTTTTTTTTTTTTTTTCTTTTTTTTTTTTTTTTTTTTTTTTTTGCTGCTTATGCTATATCATAACGACAGTGGCTCCTTTTTGGGTGGGCTGCTCAAAGTAAATTGTTTTTTTCTTCTAAAGCTTTTTCACCGTTGAAATGTGAAGCAAGAATGAATGTCTAGTTTTCACAACTTCGTCCATAGTTATTTTCTTCTACTTCATTTCAATTTAAGTTGATAAGTTATAAGCTCGACAAAAAAAATATGTTGATGTTAAATTCCTCCTCTAAAGGCTATTCCTTTTGTACCAACACATGTATCGTGTATTATGTTTATCATCCACCATATCACCTTGACGTGCATAGACTTTCAAATAATTGTCACTCAACTGGTGATGGTTTAACGATACATGGAATACTCCTTCCGTTTCAATTTAGACAATTTAGACGTGAATGTTTGACTCGGCACAAAATTTAAGAAAAAAAAAATTGAAACTTGTGATCTTAAAAACTTAAGTGGTATAAAAGTTTTGTGGAGCCATGATATTTTTGTAGTTATAAAAACTTTTTATTAAGGTAAAATGTGTAAAATGAAGAGTATAATTCAAATTTAAAATTGTGTCACTTATTTTGAAACAGACTAAAAAGGAAAATACTAAAAAGGAAAGTACTAACAGTAATTGGTATCACAAATTTGTATCTCGTTAATTAATTAGGGCTACCTTTTTCGGACTATCCACGTGATTATCAGATTAGCCCAATGTCCGACTACTCCCTAGTAACTTAAACGATATAATTCAATCTAGTACACCTATATTCGTGGAGAAAAAAGTTACTTAGAAAAATTTAATTAAGTAAATACAACTACAACAATATACCCAGTATTATCGCATATCGTGAAATTTGGGAGGATAGTATGTACACAGACCTTACCCTTACATTGTGAGGACAAGGAGACTGTTTCCAATAAACCATCAGCCCAGGAAAGCATAACCACCACATTAATGAAAATATAGACAAGAAGGGATAATACTAAAAAGCCAGATAAAAACAGAATAAAAACAACAAGATAGTAAGGTGATCAACAATGAAAAAAATAACATAAACCTATACTAACAGAAAGCGAGACTGCGTGCCAATAATACTGTAATGAACACTCTAGACTACCTACTCTACTACCCTAATCCTCGGCCTTCATATACTAGTACTAAAAAGACAAAAAGCATAGTATATCAAAGGAGTTAAAAAAAGAGAAAATATAGAAGAATCATAAAAGGTGGTTAATTAGGATTAGATTTCATAAAAATATTAGTAGTACGTAATTATGTAATCCTCCTAGCTAGCAGCAAATATGCAAACAAAACAATACAGGGGTACCATTATACAAGTAACAGATGTGTCATCTCCTGACTCTTGTTGATGTTAAAAATGAAAATGACGTTCTTCTTGAATTTTCAGATGGAAGTATGAAGAGAGATTAGAGAGAGATAGTCGGCTAGGTTTGCCGATGGTTGATTTGTCTTTAAAAAAGGGATGTATATCTTATAAAATGGGCCAGACATTTAGACTCAATTCTCAATGGGCTTGATTTTTTGCTTTGGACTTAGTTTTACAACAAATGGGCCTTAAAGCTTCAGTTGACTCCATCGACCCATTTCTAGTGGAACCCAGAAGATACAAAGAATAATCTCCATAGTAGATAGAATTATTCCTTTTGTAAATATTCCTTAGTTTGTTACAATAGCTGTTAGGAGTAGGCTAATAAAATACTGCCACTTGACAAAGTTTGTTTAGACTAGATTCTATTCTTTTGTATATATACATTACACTGTGCAGAGAAATAAACACACAGAAAATTTTCAAAATTATTCTCATTTCATTCTCTTCATGGTATCAGAGCAGGCTTAATCTGCTCCATCATTTCACGATCTTTTGCTTCTTTCTTCCTTCTTTTTTTGCTTTCTTTTCTTCAGTTATGAATACCACTAGACAGACTCTAGATCCACTTGTATCAGCTACTTTCACAGTCGATCCTGCTGTGCCAGCAGCTTCAGTTATGAGTGAAGTGGTTGATTCATCACATCCTTACTACCTTCATCGCTCGGATTATCCGGGGATGAATCTTGTGTCCACAGTTTTTGATGGAAGAAGCTATGGTTGATGGAGAAGAGCTGTAGTAATTACTTTATCTGCAAAAAATAAGCTGGGTTTTATTGACGGAACTCTTACTTTTTCACAAGCTGATCTGGACTTCAAAAGACTTGGGCAATGTGTAATGATATGGTATTGTCATGGCTACTTAATTCTCTATCTAAGGAGATAGCTGAGAGTGTTCTTTACTCTCAAAGTGCCAAGGACTTGTGGAGTGATTTGGAAGACAAATTTGGACAAACAAATGGAGCTAAGTTATTTTAGCTACAAAAGGAACTCAGTATTGTGGTACAAGGTAATTCTAGTGTATAAACCTATTTTACTAAGATGAGAAGCTTATGGGATGAGCTTGATGTTTTGAATATCTTTTCTGCATGTGTTTGTGAATGTGGTGCTAAGGTAAAGAATTTTAAGGCACATCAAGATGAAAGGTTGCTGCAGTTTTTGATGGGTTTAAATGACATATTCATAGGTGTTAGGAGCAATATACTATTTTCTTCACCATTACCTTATATTGGACAAGCTTATTCACTTGTGATACAGGATGAGAAGCAAAGGGAGATCCATGCCACTTTTGTCTATCCAGGAGATTCTGGTTGTTTCCTTGCTACAAGCCTGCAGGGAAATGGAAGAAGATTCAATGAAAATAAGAAACAGAAGGGAGGTTTTGATCCTAAAAAGAATGCTGGAATATGTGCTTACTGCAAGAAACCTGGCCATACTATTGATAAATGTTATAGGATTCATGGATTTTCTGGAGATTTTAAGTTCACAAAATAGAGGAAGTTTCAAGGGAATGTACATGCAAATGCTGTGTTCAACACAAATGAAGAGGGAATCCAGGGAAATACTAAGGTGCCAGGAATGCAGTCACTTACTCGGGAGAATGTGACACAATTATTGTAGCTTCTACAACAGGGCAACATAGGTCAGCAGGATGCAGAAACCTCTGATGCTTCTGCAAATCTGAGTTGTGCTGGTATAGCCAAGTTTTTCAATTCCTTTGCCCGTTTCATTCAAATTGATAGTGAATCATAGATATTAGATAGTGGAGCAAATGAGCATATGACTTTTAACATAAATTTTTTTATTAACTATAAAGCCTTGCCTAAACCTGTCATGGTCAATTTGCCTAATTCACATAGAATAAAAGTTACACATTTAGGTTTTATTGCATTGTTACCAAATCTAGTTTTGCACAATGTACTATATGTGCCTTCCTTTAGATTCAATTTGTTGTCTGTGCACAAGTTGTACAAATAACTCCAACAGTATGTTCTTTTCACTCCTAATTCTTGTTTTTTGCTGCAGGGTCCTTCATGTTCACTAAAGGGCCCTTTGAAGATTGGTAAGGAGAAATGAGGCCTCTTTATTCTCAAGTCAAGACTGACAGCTCCAGTTTTTAAAAGTTTTTCCAAGTCTAGTACTTTTGTACCTAGGCAGAATTTAAATTTTGTTCCAGTTTTTAATTCCTGTTTTGCTTTTTCTGATTCCAATGTAAAAGAGAAGCTGTGGCATTATAGGTTAGGCCATATGCCTTTGAGTAATATGAAGAAATTTTCTGATGTTTTTGTTCCTTCATGTTTTAATTATTCTACTCCTTGTCTTATTTGTCCTATGGATAGACAATCCAAGCTCCATTTTCCTTCAAGCTCTATATCAACCAAAAATATCTTTGACCTAATCCATGTGGACACTTGGGGACCTTACAAGGATACCACCTATGATGGTTATATATATTTCCTCACCATAGTTAATGACTTCAGTAGAGGGACCTGGACCTACATGCTAAGTAATAAATCAAATGCTTTCACTATCTTAAAATCTTATTTAGCCATGGTAGATAGGCATTTTCATACAAAGATTAAGATAATCAGATCATATAATGCTTCTGAATTGGGTTCTGGAACTGTTCAAACAAAATTTTTTCTTTCCCAAGGAATTATATATCAAACCAGTTGTGTTTCCACTCTACAACAGAATGGAGTTGTGGAGAGAAAACAAAGGCACTTACTAGAGACATCTAGAGCCTTATTATTTCAATCTTATTTACCTATATCATTTTGGGGGGAATGCCTGCTTACAACCACATATTTGATCAACAGATACCCTTCTAGAGTATTAAAGTTCAAGACCTCTTATGAAGTCCTTTTTCAAACCAAACCTAGTTATTCTACTTTAAGATGCTTTGGATGTTTATGTTTTGCTTCTACTCTTTCAAGACATAGATCAAAATTTGACTCAAGGGTTGTTCCTTGTATATTTCTAGGCTATCCACATGGTAAAAAGGGTTATAAGGTGGTTTATCTCAAGGCATTAAAGGTTTTCATTTCTAGAGATGTAATATTCCATGGGGAATTCTTTCTTTTTTCCTCTATCAAATCTAATTATACAAGGACTTCTTATCTTCCAATAGCTCCATTGCACAACTTATTTCCCTTAAACTCAGACTCCTCCTCACCTTTGTGTTCATCAGACAACCAACACTCTCCTTCTACTCCTTCCTTGACCCTTATTGTTTCTTCCTCTCCTACACTCTCATCACAAACTTCTTACCCTAGTACAACACTATTTCCTACCAGCCCATTACCAGTGGGATCATCACCAAGCTGCTCCTCTTCTAGTATACCTTTTTCTTCATTCTCCTCACATGTTTCTCAACCTATGTTGGATACTCTCATAAGAAAATCTTCTAGACTTCACAATCCTCCTAAATACCTCAATGATTACATTTGTAATGCTCTTCAACTCTCAGATGTGAGTAATGCATGTTTTCTTGCACCAGTCTCTCCTCCATCTTTGTCTTTTAGTAGCCTCTCCACCACTAATCAACATATGCTCAATTCTCTATCTAATATGTATGAACCTATTAGTTACTCACATGCTGCACATCACCCAGGGTGGCAGGAAGCCATGGAACAGGAAATTGCTGCACTTGAGCTCAACAAAACTTGGGAGGTCATAGAATTACGCCCAGGTAGAAAAGCTTTACCTTGAAAATAGGTCTATAAGGTAAAAGAACATTCAGATGGTAGTGTGGAAAGGTTAAAGGCTAGATTGGTAATAAGAGGTGATATACAGAGATAGGGGATAGATTTCAATGAAATATTTTCTCCGGTGGTCAAGATGACAATCATCAGATGCATTTTAGCTATTGCAGTTAAGAAAAGTTGGGGCCTTTATCAATTGGATGTGAATAATGTCTTCTTACATGGTGATTTAAACGAAGAAGTCTATATGAAATTCCCAGTTAGTTTTACACCACCTTCTCCTAACCATGTTTGGAAGTTGAAAAAGTCCATTTATGGACTTCGTCAAGCTTCTAGACAATGGTACTCTAAGCTTACTACTGCTCTTAATTTCAAGGGATATACACATTTCTTGAACGATTATTCTTTGTTCTTTAGAAGGACATATTCTTCTATCTCTATTGTGGCAGTGTATGTTGATGATATACTACTAACAGGCAATGATACAAAGGAATTGACTGAATTAAAGGCTTTTTTACATGAGGAGTTTAGAATCAAGGACCTTGGAAGCTTCCATTATTTTTTGGGCATGGAAGTTCTCCGAGAGCCTCATGGTTTGATTTTATCTCGGAGGAAATTCACCCTTGATTTATTGCATGAGTTTGATTCTCTCCACAAGACGCATGTTTCCTGTCCTCTTGACCCTTCTGTTCGCCTACTTGCTCAGACTGACCCCATTCCTGACCCGAACTTGTATCGCTATTTGTTGGGCAAGCTGAATTATTTAACACATACAAAACCGAATTTATCATTTATTGTACATCGCCTTAGCCAGTACATGCAAGATTCTAGGCAGACTCATCTCAATGCTTCGCTTCGTGTCCTCCGATATTTATTTAAGGATCCTGGACTCGGACTTTTTATGTCTTCATCCCCTTCATATCAACTCCTTGCATTTTGTGATTCCGACTGGGCCGCTTGTCCTAATTCACGCAAATCTGTCAGTGGATTCTTCATTTCATTTGGTTCATCCCCAATTTCATGGAAATCCAAAAAGTAGACATCCATTTCTCTCAGCTCTCCAGAGGCTGAATACCATTCAATGCGACGCGTTGTAGCTGAGCTCACTTGATTGGTCCGCTTATTTGATGATCTTTCCATCCCAATTTCACTTCCTAGTCCTCTTCATTTGGACAGTCAGGCAGCTATCCATATCGCGAAAAACCCTGTGTTTCACGAAAGAACTAAACATGTCGAACTAGATTGTCACTTCGTAAGATAATAATTCCTCGCCGGGCTGATTTCACTCTCCTATGTTTGCTCCTATTCTCAACTCGCAGATCAGTTCACAAAGTCTCTCACATGGACAATTCATCACAATCTTTTGGGCAAGTTGGGTGTTCTTTCATCCCCTCCAACTTGAGTGGGGGGAAGAGGGTGTTGGTGTTAGAAATGAAAATGACGTTCTTCTTGAATTTTCATATGGAAGTATGAAGAGAGATTAGAGAGAGATAGTTGGCTAGGTTTGCTGATGGTTGATTTGTCTTTGAAGAAGGGAAGTTTCCAAAATTAGATAGTCGGTACATTTGAATTCAATTCTAAATGGGCTTGATTTTTTGCTTTGGATTTAGTTTTATAACAAATGGGCCTTAAAGCTTCAGTTGACTCCATCGACCCATTTCTAGTAGAACCCAGAAGATACAAAGAATAATCTGCATATTAGATAGAATTATTCCTTTTGTAAATATTTCTTAGTTTGTTATAATAGCTGTTAGGAGTAGGCTAGTAAAATACTGTCACTTGGCAAAGTTTGTTTAGACTAGATTCTATTCTTTTGTATATATACATTACACTGTGCAGAGAAATAAACACACAGAAAAATTTCAAAATTATTCTCATTTCATTCTCTTCATGGTATCAGAGCAGGCTTAATCTGCTCCACCATTTCACGATCTTTTGCTTCTTTCTTCCTTCTTTTTTTGCTTTCTTTTCTTCAGCTATGAATACCACTAGACAGACTCTAGATCCACTTGCATCAGCTACTTCCACAGTCGATCTTGCTGTGCCAGCAGCTTCAGTTATGAGTGAAGTGGTTGATTCATCACATCCTTACTACCTTCATCCCTCGGATTATCCGGGGATGAATCTTGTGTCCACAGTTTTTGATGGAAAAAGCTATGGTGGATGGAGAAGAGCTGTAGTAATTACTTTATCTGCAAAAAATAAGCTGGGTTTTATTGATGGAACTCTTACTTTTTCACAAGCTGATTCTGAACTTCAAAAGACTTGGGCAATGTGTAATGACATGGTATTGTCATGGCTACTTAATTCTCTATCTAAGGAGATAGCTGAGAGTGTTCTTTACTCTCAAAGTGCCAAGGACTTGTGGAGTGATTTGCCGATGGTTGATTTGTCTTTGAAGAAGGGATGTATATCTTACAAAATGGGTCAGACATTTAGACTCAATTCTTAATGGGCTTGATTTTTTGCTTTGGACTTAGTTTTACAACAAATGGGCCTTAAAGCTTCAGTTGACTCCAACGACCCATTTCTAGTAGAACCGAGAAGATACAAAGAATAATCTGTATAGTGGATATAATTATTCATTTTTAAATATTCCTTAGTTTGTTACAATAGCTCTTAGGAGTAGGCTAGTAAAATACCGCCACTTGGCAAAGTTTGTTTAGACTAAATTCTATTCTTTTGTATATATCCATTACACTGTGCAGAGAAATAAACGCACAGAAAATTTCCAAAATTATTCTCATTTCATTCTCTTCAACTCTCAGAATTTCAAAGTCGACAGAATAAGGTTTAGAATGTGAAAGTGGAGAGGTTCATTAATTTAATCAACTACTAAGTATCTTCCCGTTAAATCACATAAAGCTAAGGAGCTGGAACCTTAAGGAGTATAGCGAAATAATTGAGAAGAAAAGAATTTTAAAAGCACAATATTTTATATGGAAAGATGCTAGAGGGTTTTTGTATATTTATAATAAAAAAATTAGTAGGATTAATTATGAAAGTATTTGTCTAAACTATTTTTTATGTATCTTTAAATATCTCATTTAATTAGTCCTTTACTAATTGAAGCCGTTGGGATAGATCCCCGAAAATTATAATAAATGATAGCTTCTTATTTTTATAAAACGACAAATATTTTAAAACAAAATTTTAAAACTATTAAAATTTGGCGTTGAAAGTTTTTTAATTGTACAAGATGAAAGTAGGGAATTATGGTATCATTAAATTACTCATTGCAAATACGAAGAGAAAACCGTAGGTCCATTGCGATTTGGGAGGATTATTGAGGTCTCACGTGAGAATATGCATAGGCATAAATTTTATGGGATGTTGTTTGATTGGGTATAAAGCGCTTAAGAAAGAAATAAAACAATAAAAATTTATGATTTTAAATATGTCATAATATTAATATTTTAAATTTTTTAAATTTCATAATCTTAAATGTGTTATAATATTTGTGTGATTATAAAATTTATCATTCCAATAAAATAAATATTTTAAATTAATTTGTGTGTAAATTTTTATATGGAATGGAGGGAGAATATAATTTTCTTTCTTCTCTGTTTTTTATACTCAGGAAACCTCCATCTGATGCAATAAAAAGTGGGAGTAAAACTTTTGGGAGATCTGATAATGAAACTTACCGACCTAAATTCACATGCCCAAAACAGTCAAAGAAATAATAGGGGATATTTATTGTTTATTTTTTTTAGTCGTATATATAAATTATATATTGATTATATATAATTATATATATTAAATATAAATTATACATATATTATATTTTCGTCGACTATTATTAGTTTTAAGTTATTGAATGGATGACTATTTGGATTAATTCTTAAAAATAGGGAAACCATACAAATGTAAGGGAGTGTTTGGACTTTGGATTGGCTTAAAAGCTGGTCAACCAGCTTAAAAGCACTTTTAGGTTTATTTGAGTGTTTGGATAGACTATGAAATTATTTTTAAGCCAAATATTTTTAAGTCAAAATACTCAAAATAAGCTAAATGCAATAAGGTGGGGTTGCCAAACTTATTGCTTTTTGTCTTACAAGATTTTTATTTTTGACCAAGTAATTCACCCTACTATACCTTTCACTTTTTCTAAACCCCAAAACTATCCTTCCCTTACTAATTAAATCCTTCTAATCACCATTTTTCATCTTGCCTATGCTACTGTCATTCTCCAAAACCTAGTCAATTTCTTGAAGTTCTTAAAGTGAAGCAAATAGTAATTTTTAAAATAAATGTTTGATACATTTCAATACTTTGTATATATTGTTCTTTTAGCTTCTTTTTTGGGCTACATAACATTTAACTTTTTTTTATGACTTTAAATCCTTCCTTTTTTTTTTAATTGGTGTACTATATTCTAAAATCAAATCATTCAACATGTTACCCCATAATTTGAAGTTATTAAAGGAAAAATCACTTTTTTGGTCAAATAGTTAATTACTGCATATTATTTAAATAAATAATTTATATTTAGGTAATCAGTTTAAATTGCAAGTGAATTAAACTATAAATTATTTGTATATGTGTCAACTTAGAATAAAATATTATAGTAATCAATTTCTTTATAATGTTAACAACTTTACAGATATTTTTGTCATTTTAACAAGAAAATAATATTTACGAGCACTTCTTTTTCCAAACACTTCAACAATATTTTTCTAGTTTCAGCACTTTATCCAAATACATTACTGTATATTTATAAAATAAATCTGGCTCTTAAAATTTTTTTTAAACACTTATACTTAAAAATTACTTTTTTAAGTCAATCCAAATGGGATCTAGGTGATTGTTGCTCAAGACATCCAAGTGTTTTACAATCTTCTTGGGTCTTTTGCCTTTTCGTACCAGTTCTTCAAACCAATCAAAATATTTTATATATTCAAATCGATCTGTGACAAAAAAAAAATTCATTGACTTATTACTCCTTCAAAAAAACAAAAGCTTGAATTGTTGACTTACGTTACGAAGGTTCTCGTATAAGTAACTTATAGAATTTTATTAATTATACAATAAACATTACTACGGTAAAAAGATGTACTAGACTATCCGAAGCTTTGTTGAACTTTCTTTTTTCTTTTGGATCTACTTTTCTGTAAGTTTTAATCATGTTTTTTCACGAGCACTTTGTCCCCTCTTATTTAATTTCTTGTGTTATTTTTTTTCTTTTTCGGGACTTCTCACAGTAATCTTTTGTGAGATATTTTCGAATTTTTCTTTTGTTTTATTTGCTCACATAGAAAAACGTAAAGAGAATTAAGAATGGTCATTTAAGACTAGCTAGCATGGTACTCTAGTGCTGCGGGTATGATATCATACTCTTCGTTGACTTGACTTTTACCTAACTACTCATTTATTAATTTTATAATTTTAATGCTCGTTTTATTAATCTTGTAAGTCCTGGAATCCTAAATAATGAAAAGAAAATTAAACAATTCAATCCTTAAGCATGTCTAAATTAATCTTGTTCCTGCTCTCTACAGTGCTTTTTGGGTAATCTAACCTTTGTCAAAAAAGTATTACTGTCATCAGTTTTGTATTTGATTGATCTACGAGTAAGATTTTATGATTAATATATTAAATGGTAAATCGTCTCGGTCAATAGTAGACAATAGTTTTCAATATATTTGTGTGCTATGATTATTCCCAGCCACCATTTCCGAGAAAAACTTTGCTGTTAATAGGCTCATGCATTCGACCTTATTTGAATAATAATTGTTATCACTCTGTCAAAAAATTATATTGTGTAAATATATTAATTTTTCATATATATTTTATTAAATTTTCTAGACTTCTTCATATTTTTATTTTCTTATCTTCTGATTTACTTTAGTAAAAATTCTAACATTGCCACTCGTTGTCATAGCAAGGCATTATTATAATTTTCTTTACCACGCATTGGTGATGATGATTGGCTGAGAGAAAGATGAGGGGCCAGCCATTTTCTTTTCGTAAGTTGGGTAGGAAAACGACAAAAGAACATGGCAAAAACGTTAATTTCTGAAGATGAGTGAACTCAGT